TTGACAATTGTATGTCAGGCTTATAAGTGGAAAACACTAAAAATTGTACATTACTTGTTTTATTAACACCTTACGTAAATGACATTAGTTACTATCACGGAAAATCATATTTTAGAGTCAGATTTGTATAAAGCAATGATTTTGCATACATTCTTGGGAACAGCAAAAATGACTTAGAACAAACCTTCTAAGTATAGTGTTCATTCCGTGCAATAACGCATAAATAAAAGGTTCTGGAAGAAAAGACACCTCATTTTACACCACTGAGGACAAGCAAAAAGCTCATATGGGTACCTCGGTTAAAAATATTTACATAACTCTATTAATTAATACCAGTTCTAATTTAAAGGAAAAAGTTATGAGAATAAAACAAAAGTTGTCTGTACCACGAAGCATGCCTTCACTGTTTAGACTGAGAGTCCTAAAGCTTTTTTAGCATGTATTCGAATATCTTATCACGATAAGTCCGCCACCCACACCACCCCGCGGCGTACTGTTTTCACTCAGCGGCTACGGCTTAATAGAAGATCCAATAGCTTCCTATGGTCAGCGGTCACCTTTATGAGGTAAACATGGCGATCACCTCCTGATCACCGTTCTTGTCGATCAGAAAATCAAAATACCAGCGTGATATGGCCTCGAAGATGACGTAGTTATTTGTTTGATTCGTACTTCACATTCGAGTCGAAGCTTGGGGGGCACAGGTTATTTCTTACGGTGGAATCGACAAGGGAAATTCGAACACTAGTGGTCACTAGTTGTAGTGTTTGAATTGTTGGAAGAAATGGTCGCATGGGGATGTAGGAATGGTAGGTTTAACGAACAGTGTCAAATTTTGTCCCTTGAATTGAAAGTGAAGTTCATTTGAATGCTTTCGTATATATTTCTGACTGTTTTAGATCTACCTGCTCGATTTATATCTGCTACGCTTCATGTTGACAAGTCCCTCAAAATGGCGGCAAAACTTGGAGATTGCCGAAAATGAGGTAAGTTCACGCAGTTATAAAGTTTTAGTAAAGGTCGGGCCGCAAAGTTTTTTTCCGTAGTTACCTTTTCTATGGCACCTACTTCCTAGCTATATTAGTTGGATCAGTTAACAACGCCTCACTTTTTCAAAAATGTACCTTGAATTTGATCGGTTTTCGCGTGTGTGACTTAAGCGAACCGATAAGGTGTCGTTCAAGTCTTCCTGTTTGCTTGATTGAAACGTGATGTTCACGAATGTCGCCTCGATGGATAAGATAGTGTTAATATACATGGCTGTAGTATTTGTTTTTTGCTGAGTTCCGTAGTTTGTTGTAAATTGTCCGGCAAAGTTGCCTCAAATTAACGTCTTGAAAAATGTCACGACAGGCCTTCGCTCGAGGGAAATTTAATTTCCGTAAAACTCTGAAAAATAAAGAGATCCGATCAAACGGATTGTGGTTTTAGTATAGGTACATGAATGTCTTACAACACACAAGAAATGAGCTAAATCTGTGTCTCAAGGAAAATCGACCGGACCGCTCTTACAGAGACACTCTCTTAATAGTCTTGTACCTTGTACCCTGAAGAAGGCAGCATTGCCCCACAGGTAGCCCAAGCTCGAAATATGAGCATCGTTATTGTTACGTAACATTCGAAATATAAGGAATTGTATGGGGAAAAAACCTATCGTTTTTGTAACCTACGAAAATGGAAGGATTTCAATTAAAAACAGTTTACCTTACATAAAATGTGTGTTACGTCTCTCCTGTGTTGTCCATGGGCCGATTTATGGCAGTTTTAAAGGTGACTATAAACGGTTTTCTCTCTAAATATAAGGTTTACCTTCTGAATACCTCCTAAATACATTGAAAACACTGTTCAGGGTATCCACAATACTTTTAGATGTCTAGAAATGCATTCTAAGCGGCGCTATCAAATTTGTATCTGTTCAGTCATCCTAGGGAGAACTTGAGTCTTTTCGAAATTACAAGGGTTTGAGTAGTATTTCCCGACAATCAATATGGATATTTGGAGGACAACGCAGGTTATTTAGAGAAAGGCCAAACATGCAAATTTATACGTCTAACAACGTTGAATATTTACAAAGAAGCTTTATCCGCTCGCATTACACATTTTAAAGAACCATTGACCATCTTTACGCTATGTTATATTTTGAATGAAAATCTCAAAACAACTAAAACGAACGAAATAAACAATAACATTTCAATGTACAAAATGAAACTTCATATCATTGATGACATCGCACAATAAGAGTTATTTTGGGCATGAAAATGGCTCTTACACGCGACCCAGCAAGCAAAGCGCGTAGTGGCCCTTGGGTATATAGTTATTAAAAATTGAACGTGTTTTGGCTCCATTGGGGATTCATCTTCGTAGCATCCTAAAGTCGCTGTGACAGTACTTCTTGAAGGTATATTGCAACATTTCTTTAATTTTTCTAGTTATTTTAGCCTATTAACTGGGTTCTTTGTCAAGAGACTTTGCCAACGCCGACCACTACGATTGTACGCAAATTGAATTTTAAAATTGGCGAAATTGACTTACTCTCGAAGCTAAAGTACCTGATGCCGCCCTGTTCATTTCTTCTTAGTAACGTAATCCTTAATATACCATTTATCCAATTTAGGGTACTATTTCGACAGAAAAAAACTCTTTAGCAGCTAAAAAAAATAATGCGTTTTACTGGGCGCAACTTGTGTCATACTTGTGTCATACTTGATGTCGTGAAAGGCTGTGCGATTAATCGCGCAAACTAAAAAAGCTCCTCCTAATTACCTGCCTGATTTCTAACAAGACGTTGCAAAAACCAGATATTTCTACGCTCGATAAATATTTTAAAAATATACACTGTTAAACGTGACATTTTGTCCATTTTTCCTTAATCAGGACGTAAGTGCAGTTTCCCAGATAAATCTCAGGATTTACGATCACTGTCTCCATTCTTCAATCAGCTGACAAAATATATTCATAACAGTTACTGTAGCCGGAGGGCATGAATTTTCAAAAATACAATTATTCAGCGAAGTGGACGCAATTTCCTTCGGTTCTGAAGAATAATTTATTATCGGTTAGTGCATCGTAGAAACATGAATTACAATGCCCAGATATTTAGAGAGGATTCATTTGCAGCATACGCAATATAGCCGTGGCATTTTCCATGTATAGTATTTTTTTTATTGTTTTCAAGCTCAAAAACAATTTAAAAATGATAAAATGAGTTACTTATTGTCAATTTCATACTAATGTGGAAAGTTGTGCGCATTTAACTCTCAGCTCGCCAATAAGAACGCTCTTACAGCATAATAGAACAATTTACTTTTTTGGTCCGTATACGATAGATTGACAGCGCTGTCGATGTATAATTTTTTGGAATAAATAATTTAGAAATATACAGAAAAAAAATGAAAAATATCTCATAGTTTTTATATCTTTAAAAATCGCCTTATGAGTTTAGGTACTGATATTATAGGGGCATCACTGTTTACAAACATTGTGCTTGTTATTCAAATTTTAAACAAGTGAAACAAAAGAATCTTAATTCATCCTCAGAGACCTATACCTGGGCCTGTCACGTCGGGTCGGGAACAAGGGCGGCGAAAGTTTTCAAGAACGGGCGAGAGAGCCTCGGGATGCTATTCTTAAGGTGGCTACCTTTGGACCTGTTATATGATATTTACAAATGGTGGTTTTTATTGTAAAAACTTAAAACACACATGGATTACACATAGACTGAACTTTATTATACTATTAAAAGAATATCACGTGAAAATGACTTCACAATAGTTTTAGCTCTTAACAGAATTGCAGGCCTTTAGACATTTTTTCTAGAAATGCTCCACGCTACGTAGACTTTGGATGCTGCCTTCTACTGTGCGTAGTTTTACAATGATCTGTAAAGAGGAATTTCGAGACATCGTGGGATGAAGGCTTTAAGTTTGCTTAAACTGAATAATGAACTTTATGCAAGCAAATTTGCTACTTCCTGGACGTTTCTGAAACGTTTTTGCCACTCAATCATTTATAATTAGATAATGTCGCTTGTACAATCTCCAATTCGCTAGAGGCAGGCAGACTTCCGCGATTTCGAAAGACAGGAAAGTGTATGCAGCAGGGTAAGGCTGCGTGCAAACGGACGCAACAACTCCCAACATGTTGCGCCAACAACGTTGGGAGTTGTTGCGTGCGTGTTGGCAGTGGTGTGCAAACGGATGCAACAAACCCATAAGTCTTTGTAAACCATGCATAATGAGCGTGCGTGGCCCCAACAATGTTGGAAGAGCTGTGCAAACGAATCCAACATTGTTGCGCTACGCTTCGGCGATCACGGAACAAAAGAAATGTTGGGAGTTGTTGGCTGAAAAATTTGACCGGTTTCAAACCTTGCGCAACAACACACAACAAGATCCAACAACATGCAACAGGGTGTGCAAACGGACGCAACATGTAACATCCAACAATGTTGCGTCCGTTTGCACGGGGCTTAAAACACATTTGTGAGCTCAGACTTTGGAATTTTTTAAGGCTAGTTTCACAAAAAACAGCGATAAAATCAAAATTCGTCGATAGATATCCTCCAAAAATTTTCAGAGCTACAATTAAGTAATGTTCTTTTCAATCCCTGAATTTCATGACCGTTCAAAACTTATAAAGTTGTCCAATGCCTTTTTTCGCTTAAAATTTTGTGAATATTGAGGTACTCACTGTTCTAGTCTTAGATAATATTATGCCCTGGGATTTCCTATTTCTTATTGCAACCTTACCCTTCACGAAATATTTATAATTCTTTGATTGTTCATATATAAAAACCGAAAGGACAAAAAGGACAACTTTTAGGAGGAAGAAGGTGTGTCTCATTAATTCTACCTTGGTTTTGAATTTTGAATCTATCGGGTCGTTTCGTAGGGCTTGAGGATGAGGAATAATGAGGTAGCGTGCCTTGTGTAACCCACGGAAGTGGTGCATGTCTTTTTTGTTTACAGACCGATCTTTGCGGGACAATTTATGTGGAAGGCATGAAGACACCTGTTCTTTGCCTCTTTGTTCACTTTTGGCTCCCTCTCCTGGGCAAAGCAGCACCAAAACCCGAATGGATTGAGCTCTCATACCAATTCAACAATGAGACCATTTACTGGCCTACTTCCTTGGCTTTCAAGCACATCAGACTAAGCGAAAATTTTACCGCCGCTGGTTTCTATTATTCAGCGTATGACATCATTACTGCTGAACATGGGGGAACCCATATTGATTCTCCGAGACACTTTGCTGAAAATAGGTGGACCACTGACCAGATACCTTTAGATCGGCTCATTGGACCTGCCATAAAGATAGATATGTCCTCCAAAGCAGCCGAGGTAATAGTTCTTCTTCAATTTGGGAAACTCATGCTGTAACCCAAAACTAGTTATGATCCTAGCCTGTGCAACTTAGTCTAACTTCCTTTTTTTCTCTTTTTTTTTGGGCCACTAATTTTGAGTTAGTTTTCTACGCAATCTTGTAGTAAGCCGATAAAAGAAACGATAACATCCCAAAAATAGTCGCATAGTGGACTTCGGCCCAAAACTGATCCCGTCTCCCTGCGCGATTATGCGCATCCTCAAATGTAGCTAAAGCAAATTGTCAAGAGTCAGTGCAAATGGTCGCAGAAATATGGCGCACCTCCCAGAAACCTGTCTATCAAAGTGCCCTATTATTCACAGACCCGCCTTAAAATCAGTCGCTGATTTGTTCCTCAGAACCGTGATTACCAAGTGATGCCGAGTGACTTAGAAGCCTGGGAAGATAAGAACGGAAAGATTCCTGATGACATCATATTGCTTCTGTTTTTTGACTGGGGAAAGCGTTGGCCAGATAAACTAACTTACCTCGGTACTGACACGAATGACACGTCCTTGCTGCATTTCCCGGGTAGGTTAATCTACACCATCACTTCATTTTTTTTTGGTTTGTTCTCTGAGGGTGTTACCTGTAGTGACTCCAAACTTCGGCTTGGGTTGATAACACACTCCTCCCTTCCTCGCTGTACATGCATTATTCTTCATCCTGCACAACTCGCCCACTTTTTGTTTTATCTTCTAATTCAATGTTAATGAGACAATCGAGTGGAAGATGCCCGTTGGGGAAGATGAAAAGGGGTTTCTTTCTTTTCCCACTCTTTCTTTCCCATCGTCCTATTTGCTAAGATGCCCTAATAGTCCTCCGCGAACCTTCCGTGGCCGCCAACAAATAATATGAAAGACGACTGGGAACGAGTCAACTTCATCAGGCATCATCATCATCATCATCATCATCATCATCTTCCCCTCCCCCTCCCCCTCTTTCTTTTTAGGCTCTCGTTGAATTTTTCGCGCTGTAAAACGAAAAATCCCGTTCCTCATACTCAGCCTCATACAAATCATCGTCAGTAAAGTTACATAGGTACAAAAGCCAATTTAGATTTCTTTGTTCCATGATGTTTTCTTTGCTTTTTAGACTACTTGTGTACACAATGTGAATACCATTCCTATTCAAGACTTTCAACTTTGTGCACTGACAGGGCTCCTGGTACAATCAACTGCTGTCGACTAAGTAATAAACAAAAACATAAAATAAAGAAATCTGTTGGGCCTTCAGGAGATGACTATTACACTTCTGCATTGAAATTATGTCCAAATTAATTGCTAATCATTTATACCTGAAGTATTTTTGTATGTTTGCATGTAGGGATACACCCTAATGCCTCCCGTTGGTTGGTAAAAAATCGCAAGATCAAGTTGATTGGTGTAGACACAGCATCTATCGACTACGGACAATCGACACTTTATGAATCACATCAAATTCTTTACGAGAGGAATATTCCAGGCCTAGAAAATATCGCCCACATGGACAAGTTACCCATAAAAGGCTTCACGTTGTACGCAGCTCCAATGTTTATCACTGGTGGTAGCGGAGGGCCTTGCAGAATCTTTGCTCGTCTGGATAAAGAAGACTGCACTGTGAATGCTGCTATCAGGCTGAGAAGTGTGAACATTTTTCTGGTTACAACTGTTTTCATGTTCTTGATTTTTCTGTAATTTTCTCTATTGTTGCAATGGAAGTGTGTGTGTGTGTGTGTGTGTGTTTTTTTTTGTTGTTTTGTTTTTTTTTTTTCGATTACACAGTGCATCGCAAATGGTCAGTTCACTTTAATATTGCTCTTTAAAAGACGTTTCTGCAAATGATCATCCATAGCAGGTTTCGATCAGTCTGAATAGAAGCACGAGGAGCCGCAAGAGGTGATATTTTTGCACGGCATCTGGCGGCACATCAAAGAATTTGGAATTGAAGGGCAAATTCCTAGAATATCTTCGCCAGTTAAGCTAGAGAAAAGGTGTTAAAAAACCTCAGGATCCAAAACAACACGTCAATCAAAATATCACTTGGACCTTTTCGCTAATGAAGAGCTATCACGCGGCTAAGCTTGAATTAGACATACATTGAAATAGGAACTCGTGTCAATAAAGTATCTTAAGTGAGTGGGAATCGCTCCTAGTTAAAAAACTGGTTCACAGGGATATGAATCTCTTCTAGTTAAGAGAAGAGAATCAGAAGTGCTTTTCATGCAGGAACAGGTTTTCTTCGGGCTAACTACAAAACTTCAGCTTATTTCACTCCTTGACATTGTCAAAGCGCATTTTGTAAAGATAACTTTTTCCGCTTTATCAGCTTTTTTTATATTCTATTCCATTAATGTTTAATCTCCCTCAAAAAGCCAAATAATATAAATGCTGTTGTTAAAAAAAGCGTTTTACCTGTTTTTGTGAATTCGCTACCCAAAGATCACTATGCTCAAAGGACAGGGCAAAATTTCCAGGAGAGAGGCATTAATTTTTTTTCCCACGAGGTTACAAAGAGAAAATGCAATGATTATTGTTAATGTAACCATCAGGTATACTCTACCCACGAGGTTACGGACAGCAAATGTAGTGATTATTTTTAATGTAACCATCAGGTATGTTCTACCCACGAGGTTACAAAGAGAAAATTCAATGATTATTATTAACGTAACCTTCAGGTATGTTCTACCTACGAGGTTACAGAGAGCAAATGCAGTGATTATTATTAATGTAACCGTCAGGTATATTCTACCCACGAGGTTACAAAGAGAAAATGCAATGATTATTATTAACGTAACCTTCAGGTATGTTCTACCCACGAGGTTACAGAGAGCAAATGCAGTGATTATTGTTAATGTAACCGTCAGGTATATTCTACCCACGAGGTTACAAAGAGAAAATGCAATGATTATTATTAACGTAACCTTCAGGTATGTTCTACCCACGAGGTTACAGAGAGCAAATGCAGTGATTATTATTAAATGTAACGGTCAGGTATATTCTACCCACGAGGTTACGGAGAGCAAATGCAGTGATATTATTAATGTAACCATCAGGTATGTTCTACCCACGAGGTTACAAAGAGAAAGTGCAATGATTATCATTAACGTAACCTTCAGGTATATGTTCTACCCACGAGGTTACAGAGAGCAAAAGCAGTGATTATTATTTTAAATGTAACCATCAGGTATGTTCTACCCACGAGGTTACAGAGAGCAAATGCAGTGATTATTATTAATGTAACCATCAGGTATGTTCTACCCACGAGGTTACAGAGAGCATGCAAATGCAGTAACAATTATTAGATTTTAGTGCAACTATCAGGTTGAGTTTCTCCATTAAAAGAGTTTTTTGCTAGGGTTAAACAAGTTTGGCTTTCATGAGTTTCAAGGTGCAAGAAATTATCAGTATAATTATAGCACACAAACATTGTCATCTATATTCTTCGCACGTAGCCGGAATAAGCCAAGAAATGAAGCATATATAACGAAAAATCGTCCTCAGATGATCTCCATATTAAGTAAATGATACTAAACGTTGCGAAAGAAATTATTGTTTGTATCCGTCCTATCCATCGTAAAAGCGAGGGGTCATCGCATGACATCCGGTATATTAAACAGAGGTAATACTCACGGGTTTCACGAGTTGTATGCACTATTTTTCTCCGAGAAACAAATTTAAACTTCAATTCTTACCTTACAGTAGTCCGTTCTTTTACCTTGCATTCGACAACAAATCCGTTAAAGGCGAACAAAGCGATTCCGGCACTCTTCTTTATGATGAGTAGCAAGCCGCAGGAACTGAAGCCGCTTGACTGAAGTAAAATCCACCGATATTCGCGGCATGCTCACTACAAATATAAACAAACGTCGCGGAGAAAAAAAGACGAGGAGGAAAAAATGCCAGATCTTCGCCTCGGCAATGTATTCCAGCTACCATGCCGGCGTATCTCCAGAAGGAGGACTCGACGTGGGACAAACCCTGTGATCTTTTTTTAGAAGCCCTTTGCGCGCAAACTAATTTATTCTGGCGCGAGATGAAGAATATGTATACTGAAATCTAATCCACGACAAGAAGATTTTCGCACTGTAGCGCGACATATTAAATGCCTATCTTTACAAGTACGCGGAGAAAGTGGTCCACTAGTTTAACTTTTTTATGATTAATTTTTACTCCACAAAAGCAAAATGAAATGTTTTATCTCTATGGTTTTTACGTGCCTGATTGGAAGGCAGAAGTAAATTCATCATACAGACCCCATCAAAATGAAAGTACACGAATGAAACGGAATAAGTCTGGGACGGTTTAGTTTCTACCCAGCAGCTTCTTTGCTTTTATAACAAAAATTTAATGTTGCAGTCTGTTTTAAACGTTGGCATATCAACGCACACAGTCACTGAATGAAAACAACAAACACGATCACGTTCTTCGAAACCGACCAGACGCGCGCGACCTACCACTGTTATGGTAAGCAATTATCCTGAAGGTGTTAATGTTCCCGTGACAGTCTTCGCACTGAAGGTGTAAATGGTAAACCGAACGGTCGCTTTGATCATCAGAAAGACCTGTCAACTTTGATGATTTAACTGATTAAATTACGGGACAGAAATTTTACTGCTTGCGGCTCATCGTGCCTGTGATGATGACCATTTTATGGGTGCAAAAATTTAGTTCGAGTTAGCGGGGAATTCGAGTTATCCGAGTTCGAGTTATCGAGGTCCTACTGTAGTTTATCATAAGTTATGCTAAATTGGTAACAGAACTTCGCGTCTTCCAATTCGATCTGTAATCATACCCGCCGGCTTAAACAAATCGGATTTTGTTGATCATTCGTATGATTACAGAGAGAACTGGAGTCAACTCAGTCCCATGACCATTATGAATGGTCAGAATGGTGAAATGTACTTACTATATATGACAGGAAGTAAAACTGGAAAATAAAGTGATCATTGACTCATTCATCCACTTAATATGCATGCATTTATTAACATAACTATGGTTAAACCCAGACAACATCAAATTCTTTACAAAGAAGAAGGCAATGGTGCTGCCCTTATGACTTTTATATGTTGGACGCTCTCTGACCGCGCACAATCCTTTGTCTCTCGTTTACAACCGATTACAACAAGTTAAAAATGAGACGTTTCTAATGATCAGTTGATTCAAAATGATAGGAATGCTATTCAAATTGTGTGAGCAAGTCCAAAAAGTAAACGAAACATGCAACAAAGAAATCCGTTGGGCTTTACAATTTGGATACAATTATTGCACTTTTTACTTTATGAGGCTAAGTGCCGATATCGATGATACCGATGTAGTCGTCTCTTATCATTTGTAACGGTGTATTTCCACTGTCCCTGATTTAAAAGTGCGTAAATAAAATAGAGGCAATGTATGAAGTGTCGCGCTAACTGGCGCTAAAATTGAGGGAGGTTCAATTTAAATGTTTACGCGCTCCTTGTTGTGCCCAATTTATGACGCACGTAAAATTTACGCGCATTCGCACATAAAGATTACGCGATATTGGACTGAATTCACCCTTTGAAGTCAGGTGAGGGTTGTGGGATCTCGTGGGAGACTATTACAACATCTCGGCGAAGGGGATAATCGGAAAGAGAGAGCGGGAAAAAGAAGAGACCCCCTTCCAATCTTCCCTCATGTGCATCTTCCACCCGGAAAATATTTTCTAAACACTAAAATTTTTTCTAAACACGTGGGAATGACATGACGAAACTTTGCGTAAAAACAAGTTTCAAACGAACAGACTTTTAATGTATTCGACCGGCCAATGCTAGGGCCATGCTAGGGCCTTTTCCCGCCCCTCCCATTTTCTAAGTGACCTAATAAAGAGGGGAAATGTGACGTCACGTTACCATGATAGCAAAATTTTTGGACCTAAATAATCTTTCTTGACAGTGACGGCCATTTGTGTTGTCCCAATGGAAGAAAGCTGTTATGAGCTACTGTTTTGTTCCTGAGTGCAATCACGCATAGGAAAGTCATACATGTGGTGGTTCCCTCCCCGATTTACCGATTGCGGCTCAGGCCATCTCAGACTGCCGGCAGTCACTTCAAAACAATTGACTCTGCCCGTAACACTGAATTGCTGGAGCTGGATTTGTCTGAAGCGAGCAAAACAAATACCCTTATGTGCAGTTTTCTGAATTTTGTAACGATAGGCTGAGTTTAATTTGTTTGAATGAAGACCCTCACATGGACCAGTTATTCACTGAGTTATTAAAGCGACGAGAAGAGCTACATGGTGAATCATGGTTTAGCTGCGAAGCTCACTGCAACTGATCTTTTGCTTTTAAGATCTTTAGGTAGGTTGTTTTCGTACAAAAAATTCATTTCTTCATTGTCAGCAAGAAGTTTTTGCAATAATGTAATTTTAACTTTGTTTGAAGGAAATCCTACTTACGTGTAGGTTTTTGACAGATGTTATGTATTTTCAACTTGACAACACAAAGCATAATTTATATATATCTCTTAGTATGCGAAGCGATCAAGTTTAAAAATAAACTATAGTTGCTTTAACCGATTTTCGGAAGATTTTACTAGATAAAGATTGACCTTTTTTCTGCCCGCATATCAACGCAATAACTTCTACATTGAGGATTTTGTTTATATTTTAGTGATCTGCGAAACTACAAGTGTCCGATCGAGCGAGGGTTTTAAAATATCAGCTCGAGTGCGACAAAGTTCAGTGACTTCAAACACATTGTGGGCAAGCGTTAATTTTTTTGGGCAAATCACTGTTCAAAGATATGTTGTTTTTGTGTCCACAGTGGAGCTCCGGACCTTATATATCCAGGAACTTCCTTATATGAGCACATTTTGTGAATGCATCTCGAAAAAAATCGGACTTACGCATGCACATTTCCAGTAAAACGCAAGGAAATCAATGTCGTTAAAGTCCGTTTTACTATGAGGTATTCTTCGAGAAAATTTACTAACGACAAGGCTATAACCACAGCTTGCAACTTTTGAAGACAAATTGCCTGTTCTTTCCAGGTTATGAGTGGAAACATCTTATTTTTAGGCAATAAATTATTTGAAATCCCGCCATTTTTTCAAACCCGGCCAGGGGATCTGGGGTAAGAAGTTCACGCATGCTCATTACGTTTTTCCGCCCTGAAATGCTGAACAATTTGCTGAACAACAATACGAACAACAACGCCGAAGGACCTGCAGAGTGCTGGCATGGCATGATCATAGTGTTTGGTACAAAATTTCTTCAGTGGCGTAAATTTTTTAGTTGAAGAAATCCTGGCCAGTGAACAAACACACTCGCATCACATGGGGAAGCCAAACAACCAGGACAAAACCACTCGGAGGAATGACCAAGCTCACGATCAGGATTTTGTCAGAGCAAACGGCCATGCTGGCGAGAAAGATAACCGGCCTTTCAGTATCAATTGCGAGTGGGATATCAAACAAACCCAGCAGTTCTCCGATGATGGAACTAATACCTATTTCTGGTAAGCCGAGATAAGTTAATTTCCAAAGGAAACGTGTTAATGTTCTCCCCCAGTTATTAAATAACGCTTGAATTCGGGTGCATTTTCATGCCTCTGACTGTATACGTACATGTAAGCTTAAATTACTTAAAGTTAATTCTGAATAATGCATTATGAAGCATAATGCAAGACACTATTATAAGATGCATCTGGTCACCTTAAACTTTAATATTTTGTTATTTTACAAATGGAAGTGTTTCGTTTCTTTTGCCCTGCGATCGTCACATGTCACGTACGTCGGAGAGCAAATTAGGCTAATTGATCTGGACATTCTGTAATGTCAATGTAATGGCCCCGGTAACCCACCTTTCTTAGCTTTCAGTTCAAATACAGCAGTGTTATATTTATTTCTTGTATTTAGATATCCACAAGAACACTGACAGGACCTGTCTTGTTCTTTGTTCAGAGGTCCCCTGTTTGATGGTCATGAGTTTAATTTTATTACCTATGGGTCAAATCAAAATTTAGTTCAAAGCTTATTTTCCGTCTTTCACCACTCATAATCATACATTAACATACCCGAAAACAAAGAAAGGTAAACCAAGGATAAGACTGAAACACAGCAATAACACTTTAGCAGTCAGGGGGGGTGACAAAAATGTGGAAGAGGGTGCATGTGGGGATACAATTGATGGCATGGTAATTGAGTGTGATCAGGTAAAAATAGGTAAATCCCAAATCTTCACAGTTATATTTCCATTATTCTGCCAACAATCAGGGCTGTCATTAAAAGGTAGGGGCCGGGGATTTCCCCCAGCTACTTTCAGGGGAAAGTAGAAGAAAAATGGCATTAAAAGAAATCTGTGGCTGTTTTTTTCCTGGTCTCTACTTGTTGTAATAACTATTTACTGGGCAACTTGAAATCTTACAGTGACATCCCTGCAACATTTCAGTTTTGAGTTTGGCTCATCAATGATGGCAGAGTCTAATGGTTGCCATAGTGCAATAGCAAGGGCACAGTCATTTCATGAGAATTTCTGTTGTTGCCATGTGAATTGTCAAATGCTTTTGAGAGTTGCATTTATTGTTATGAATTAGTATTTACACTTCAAACAGACTTTTTCAGTCTTAATCTTAATCTTAATCAGCAAAACTATAGTTTTGGGACTAACTCTGACTACTAGAAAGAATACCTGCCAACTTTTTCTCAGTCATATGCTTGAGATTTTCACCTCTTCAAGACCTGGATTTCTAAATATGAAAAACAAGACTTTTGAATGTTGTCAAAAATGTCCCACGATGTTGCATAACCTGAGATCAGGCATTATTATTTTTTTAACTTCTTTGCTTCTTTGACTCGAGAGGGAAAAAAATAACGCCTTATACATTCATTTAACAAGCCGTCAACCCCCTCCTAATTTTTATAACCTAACGTCTGCTTGACCTGTCATGTTATTAGCCAATCAGTGTTTACCAAAGAGGAATCAAATTTTGGAGTGCATAATGTATCTTTTGAAATTAATTTTAGGGAAAAGAAATCAAAGTTCTCCATTTTGACACTCCTTAAAAAGCAAGGACAGGAATTTCGTTTAGTACTGCATGTAAGCTCCTTGATGAGCCCTTGTGTTTTTGGGACAATTTCAACGTGGTTGCATTTCAGCAAAACGACAGATTTGAACATGTTCATCCAACAGTAAATCACTTTAATTTATAATCAATTAATTAATTGCAAGAAAACACACAATTGAAAACACGGGACAATGCTTCATCAACTTTCCTCTGTGATCTTGTCTTTGAAATACTGGCCTGGTGTTAGGTGTCAGCATAAGCTTCTGTTGGCTTTTATCTTTTTTTAGAGCCAGGTTTCCCTGATTTTCCCACTAACTATAAAGCCAGGCAGCCCTCCTAATATTAAGGTATCATCCACCCTCAAGCACCCTTCTCGCGTTGATCGGCTCTAGCGCTTTTGCTTTTAATAAATACCCCCATAAACCATACATTTTCTGAAAGCTTAATAGTTCCAGAATATTGTTTATTCCTTTTAAGAAATCAAAATATTAACGCAATTTAGAAATGAGAAGCTTTTTGTGAAAGTGGGTGCCACTGTAAAGTTAAGTGGAGGCCAGCCAAACATAAGTGGAAGAAGCCAATTAAGATCGCATTTGCTTTGGTTGACTAAAAAACCGTGTCTCAGATTTTTGTCAAGTGCGTTTGTTCTGTTGTTATAAGCAGTTGAAGTTAGGGATAGCAAATCATTAAAACTACCTGTGAAAAAAATACTCTTCCTCGAAAACGAAAAAAGAAATCAAAAATCGCAGACACATTTTTTAGAAAAACTATCTGACAATAAGTTAGCCAAATTTCAGCCAAATTGGTTCACAGGTTGCCGACTTGGAGTTTAAAATGTACCCTCAACTTGCACTGATTTTCATTTAGAGAAAAAAGTGGGAGAAGATATTTGGCAGCATATCACCCATGACAAGATTATAACAGATTATAACACCAAAGCTGTCAATGTTGATGTATACCAGAGAAGGGACAACAATAGTGACACAGCAGGAAAAGTTAAAAACGAAACCTGACAACAGATAAACAATTTATTTCAAAGGCTCTGCTCTGTTCAATCCTTTCTGTTGTCAAGAAAGCATCAACATTAGTTATTTGCAACGGGCAGTTTTCATTTTCACACCGCAAGGATAAAAGGGTTAGACATAAATATACCCAGCTACTAAAATAAGGGCCACCTGAATTAAAGTAATTTTGACTACTGGTACCAATTTCCTTTGTCATTTCTGTGAATAGAAGGAGAAATTCAACACAAGTGGAAATGATCCTCGCAGTTAAATGAACAACCTATAAGCAGTTAAAAAAATTAATAGCCTGAAAAAATTCAGGCTTGACCAGGAATCAATCCTGACCTTGTGATGACCAGACACAATGCTCTATCCATTTTTGGCTATATAATTAAGCCAACTGAAAAGCGGACCAATGCGAGTTCATAATATACATGTGCCCAGATGGTTGAAATGACATGAATCAAAATATATAAAATGACTCATATTGTGAACTGCGGATAGATATACATGTACATAAGATCAGAAGCTGCTGTACATGTGAGTCACATTATAGGGCCTCGCTCAGTTTCCCCCTTAACTTATAGTTCCAATTAATAGTACGATAAAAGGTTAAGCTTCTACAACAATAATAATCATAATATTCTTGAAATCACCCTTTCTGCAATGTTTTTTCAAGGCGAGCACATACTGTAACTGTCCTGATGATTATGCTGTGTGTCCTCGTATATGTTGGAGTGTTTGAAAAACCCCATAGAGACCATGAATACAATACAAAGAGGTAAGGTGTGTTAATTATTATTTCTTTAACATTTTAAATGCTGCTGGACATCTACTATATAATAGCCACTCATCTCCCCCTTTTACTCTTAGCCTTCTCTACAGCTTCCTTCCTCGCCCTTGTGTGATTTGTCGGTGATTAAAAAATATCACAATTTTACATACTCAAACGGTTGGACAGTCTGCACATTTAGGCATACACTTGAGTGTGCAGAGGTGTTGTGCCTGACCATCACCTTGAAGTTTCCTTAGACAAGAAAATTGGCTCCACTTTGTCTCTCTTCACCCAACTTGTAAACATATACATGTATACTGGTGACGTGGGGTTTCATTAGAAGTTCCAGGGACCCAGGTACCAACAACATTGTTCCCTGAGCAACACAGTACTCAACTCCAGGGGAAATAAAGAAGCCACCTCTCAAACCAGCTTCTAATTGACCCTTCCACAGTTTTTTTTAAAGTTTTGATGAGGGCATTAGTAAGCAAATATCATTGACACTGCTGGAGAGAGCAACTTACAATAGTGAATTTACCAAGTTTAAAAGTGATACAAATATCCAAAGCTACCAAAGATACATTTATTGAAGTTACATAATTTTACAGATATATGTACACTGCATGTTGGGGAGCACAAATTGCCCCCCAAGATACAAACATCTGTAAAATTCATCAACTTTGGGGAGCTACGTCTTTGTTCAACAAATCACTTTTGAACCCAATCACTTTTTAAGATCTTCTTTGCAGCTGTGTTGAGGGATTTTTGCTAACTGGTCTCACGGAAACAAAAGTTGAATTAAATCATGGAAGGGTCATTTGTCCCTGCATTCTCCAATAGTGAAAACCCTGGGTGTCACACACTGATTGGGTTAAAATGGACTAGCATTTTCCATTCAGTCGTGGGTGAGCTATACTCGCACTACTCATAGGTGCATTTTGCTACACTAAGCCCAGGGTTGAAACAGAGTCTTGAATTCTTGAAAAAGTCTTGAAATTTGCCCAGCAATTTTCCAGACCTGATAAAAGTCTTGACAATAGAGAAAAAGTGTGCAAAAATAGTACTTAAGCAGAGTTTTTTTTTTTTGCAAAGCTACAACAACTGCTTCATAAGTGAGCATTTTTTTCCTGTGGTCAATTCCCATTCAATCTTGCCCATAACCAAGACATTTAATCACAGAATGAGAAGTTTCATAAGTTTCATAATTCTCTTTCATTGTATGTCCACATTGCACCTTGGTTACCGTACATTTGCAGTGCATCATGACAAAAGCTTGTTTCCTGTGTTTTTCAAGGTCTCTATTGAACACCTATTTGTTAACCTTCCATCTGGAAAAATAAAGTATTGTTTTGAAAAAGTCTTGAATTTTAGATCCAAAAAGCTGTATGAACGCTGTAAGCCAAGGCAGGTTCCAGCCTTTTGGCCTTTTATTAATCCTTTAAGCCCCAACATTCACATACAAATTCTCCAAACTGGTCTCTATGCATTTTCGTAAAGAATAAGTTGAGAGAATTTGATAATAGATCAAGGCATTTTCTGTGTGGTGATCGTTTTATTAATTCTCATGACCTTATCTCTTGACAATGTATGGATATCATTGGGAGAAAATTGATGTTAATCACTATTGGGACTTGAAGGGTTGATGTCTTTACCTTTTGTTTTTGTTGCTTATTTCAGGGGCCTCATAGCATGTATTGCAGTGTTTTTATTATTTGGTGTGACACAAATTAGAGATGGTCCTTTTAACACCCAGGTAGGCATGGCATGGCAAGTTGCTGTTACTTTGGATTTATTTTTCGTGTTTTCACCCAATAAGTTAAAAATGGAGCTGGTGAATGGTCCAAGAGAAATTATCCCAAGCCCATATCCAATGACAATAATGCTGAAATTTTTGTCCTTTTGTATTTATAGTATTATTAATAAACATAATTGTGACAGGTTTGAACCCAGTAGTCATTTCATGTTAAGTTGAGTATTATCATCTTGGTGAATGCAGTCCTGAATGTAGGACTGTTGTTGATGACATTGACTTATGTTTCAGCAACCTGTGTGGTAGTCAAATTCAGAGTCAAAGTGAGTTGTGTCAGGTCAGTTGATGGTACTGTTGTTAAACTACCATCATCTGACGTGAATCTATCAACTGACATGATGCAACTCACTTTTACTCTGAAGATGACTACCGCACAGGTTGTCAAAACGTCAGTCACTGTCAACAATAACAGTCCTATTCAGTACTACGTTCACCTGAATGATCATACTCAACCCACTTACAAAAGAAATATGTTATTTACTCACTCGTTTCCCATTACTTACATGCATTACTCTTGAAGATTTCTTGCATGTGTCGTTTTGATTTTACTTGGTCATTTATCTATCATTTTATTTTTTTGATTGCAGCATTTTGGCGACTCATTCTCTGTTTAAGTGTCATCTACGAACTGGCCCTCATTTTCTTGTTATTTCAGGTACATGTATGGGGAAAGGGAGTGAACTAGACCTTCCTTGTTCCCTGTTGAATTCACTTAGATACTGTTAAGTGTTACAAGAACTTACTGTGGCTTATACTTAAGTTGTCGAATAATCAGTGTGAATCTTTTTAGACAACTGATGATGCCAGACAATTGCTGAAGTATCTTGATGAAGATTTGGGCAAATCTTTGCCAGAGCAGTCTTATGGTGAAGACTGCAGGCTGTATACACCTGGAGATCCGAGGGGACCTTTTCACAATTTTTTAGTAGGTGGAACAGATTAATAGCTGATAATTAAAGTTAATAGCAAAATTGTCATCTGTAAGTTAGAGGATAGTATACAGTAGTAGTGATTCATAAAGGACAGCCAGGTGCTAAGAACATTGTTTCGGCGTTCATGATGGTGCCAGTCCCTTTCTGGGAATATTTTGAGTTGCAGTGTAAATTACTAAAAAAGGAAAATCAGGGCCAAAGGAGTGATCTGCGCTCGTTCGCATCATCCTTCTCTTTCCCGTCTTTGCTTGTCTCCAGCACCCCGGGCCACTTATAAAGTACAGTGTACAGCTGTACATGCTCCTCACCAAGCCTTGGAAAAGCTTGCCTGCGTCACAGACGCTCTAAACCTTCTATATTAATGGTTTGGACGAGTGCCTGGAGTGCGTGGGCCGGCTGCAACGCAGGCTAGGAGAAGCCTGTGTAGGAAAAAGTAGCTAGTGATTTGTTGCCGACTCCTGCTCAGTGCTGCTTGTTCTATGTCACTGCTAACATATTAAAATGTCACAAATGAAAGGACAATTAAAACTAGACTACTTACGAGTAGTCCCCCATTTTTCCTCAGGGATAGTAGAGCGAGCGAAACGCGAGCGCGCGTGAAAATCACCCCAGGCGAGAAAAGGCGACACGCGGCATTTTTCTCTCTCCCTGCCGCGTGTCGCCTTTTCTCGCCCGGGGTGATTTTCTATCCCTGAGGAAAACTAGGGGACTACTCGTAGGCGAAATTATAACAGGTATCATCTTGTATCAGGTCTTAGGCTTAGAGGGTTTTATTAGCTGCTGCTAATAAAATCAGTCCGTTAGCAATGCCCCCTCTCCCACTCCATTGAGAAATTAATGCATGGCTCCTTACTGAATGTCCTTCAGTAGTTAAGTTATTTTTGCACTGGTTTACCAGTCACACTCCATGCTGATGAATAATCTGTGAGTTTGTTTTGCTTTCGTTTTGTACAGGAAAAGTGTGATGTCTTTCTCCCAGCACATTTCTTTGGTTGGTGGGCAAAGGTAGGTTCGATTATTTGTATGCATTTCTACTAAATAGGGAAACTTTTTAAGTTTTCAATAACGTAACTAATAAGAAGGGAGAGCATGCTCCCAGATTCCATTAAGATACTAGTGACCACGGGTAGGCAACCATGTTTGCCACGTAGTTATAAAAGGCGACCATTATTTCCCGGATGAGATAATGGCGTTACCATTCTACCCGGTAGCTTACCTGTTTTTCCGGGGTAACAGGCAATCTATCCGTATGTACGACTACGCGTATAGGAAATTCACCCGTTCCCGTACACGAAAATAGGGAGTTTAAGATACCACGACGGCGACGGCGACGAAAACGTCGATTCAAAAGTGAATTTGCGTTCTTTCAATCTCTATCGCGATTACTCCTACTCATTTACTTCGTCAAATGCAAACGAACTCTTTTTGAGCCGAATTCCTAAGAACCATATTCAAGTTCAGAACGAGAAAGAAACTTCAGCCGTCGCTTCTTTAAGACTTCCTTAAAACGTGAAGATAGGCATTTTCCCGTCGTAGTCGTGCAGTGACGGCAAAGAAATGTACAAAAAAGCGTGATGCATGTGCAGAGTTGTTGTTTTGCCTATTCAACCTATTGCTTTTTTGACGTTCTTGTCGTCGGGGCCGGCGTGGCATCTTAAAGTCCCTACTGGTGCATGTTAAGGTCTCTACTGTTGTAGGATTTTCTCCCCCCTCTAACCTACATATCCAGCCGCGTTTGCAGGCATCACTTAGAACTCTCCTTTTTGGGTAGAGAGAACCGACGAGCCGAAATACTTCTCCGTTTGCAGGTTGCAGGCTATCCCTCCTCCCTCTAGAAACATTCCTGCCTAAGCTTTTGTGCACCTTTGTTTAACAGACTGCAAAACAGTCGGTTTTTTCCTCAAAATCAGTAAAGAAATCGGTAAAGCGTGGCGTAAGAGTCTTACGCGCGCTTCGCGCACGAGCCTCACACGCCCGTAGGGCTTGTGAGGCCAGAGAAGAAGTTCAGAAGAGAAGAAGACGTATTTTTAGCGTCTCTCCCCAGTCTCGCTCTCTGTTTTCAGCCTCGTTCCAGACCTTTTGTCAGACTGCTCGCGCGTACTTGAATACGCAAAAAGACGGACTGTTTTGGAGTCTACTTTGTTCCAAGCACAACTACCTGTATTTATTTGACCTTTTTCTCTTTTTTTTTCTTTTTCTTCCAGGCTCTTATTCTTCGTGATTACTGGTTGTTAACTGTAATAAGTGTTCTCTTTGAAGTACTGGAATATTCATTGGAGCATCAATTACCAAACTTCAGTGAATGTTGGTGGGACCATGTATGTAAATGTCATGATACGTGTTAATCTGTTTTAGTTGACAATCTTTTACTGTCGGCTGTCTGAATGTGTTTTTCTTTTTTCACGGTTTACGAGATAGTTGTTTTTAGTGCAATCGACTCCCGATAACTCGAACTTTCAAGGGAAATCGAAAAAAGTTCGAGTTATCGTGAGTTCGAGTTATTGGGAGCTAGAAATAATTAGCCGGAAGTAAGGGAAAAACAAGTCTTTACTGTACAGTGAACATTTTAATCTCATTTAATTGTAGAAATGTTAGGTGAAAATTGAAAGATAAGATACTTCTAGATTATAAATCAGATTATAAATCAGAACGTAACGTGATAAAACATAGCCTAAATAGAGCATGCGCTTTACTGTTTTGAGAAGTCAAGCTGTTTCACGTTAGATTTGTGACAAAAAACCGACGTCAGCCTTCGCTTGTAAACTATATACCTACAACACGTCAATAGGAAATTCAAAATGCAATTTTTCGGACGCCAGTACACGGTTTTTTTGCCCGACTTTATAAGCGCTCAAAACTTGGTTCGAGTTATCGAGAGTAAAATTATATAGAAATCAGATAAATGATGTGAGGGGAATCAAAAATTACTTCGAGTTAGCGGGAGGTACTAAGGTCAAGACTTATTAGATCAGTACATATCATATATTTTTTTATTATTATTTATTTATTTATTTATGTAATTTAGTTTTTTTCCCATATAGTGGGTTATGGATGTGATTGTGTGTAATGGTTTTGGAGCATATCTTGGAATGAAGACATGTGAATATCTAGGAAATAAAGTAAGTTCTTTATTAAACACACTTAATAACTGTTCTCAATGAAGTTTAGCCAAGTTGCACTGAGGCAATGATGCCGAAGCTTTGTTCACACTATACTGGATAGCTTTTGCACCGCCACGAAAACCATACCGACTAGGGCTTCTGTTCACACATAAAAACGGTTGAAGTGGTGTGACGGAGCGAGGCTCTGCCGCGCCGATCTCTAAAGGGGGAAGATACATACTGAAAAGGTTTTCACACTATAACGGATAGCTTTTCGTGGCGCAACGAAAACCATTCCGGATATGATAGGGCTTCTGTTCACACATAAGAACGGTTGTAGCGGTGTGACGGAGCGAAGCTCTGCCGCGCCGATCTCTAAAGGGGGAAGATACATACTGAAAAGGTTTTCACACTATAACGGATAGCTTTTCGTGGCGCAACGAAAACCATACCGGATATGATAGGGCTTCTGTTCACACATAAGAACGGTTGTAGCGGTGTGACGGAGCGAAGCTCTGCCGCGCCGATCTCTAAAGAGGGAAGATACATGCTGAAAAGGTTTTCACACTATAACGGATAGCTTTTCGTGGCGCCACGAAAAGGTATCCCATATAGTGCAGGGGCGGATCTAGGGGGAGGGTGCAGGGGGTGCGCACCCCCCTGAGATGACCTGCGGTTTTCTAATACAACTGGTATCCTGCAAAAAAAAACTATGTGATTTATTGGTGTTGAAGTAGAGCAAGAGACGAGTGCACCCCCTCCTAAAAAAAATCCTGGATCCGCCCCTGTAGTGTGAACATAATCTCAGATGAGGCATATTTGTGAAGTCTAATTTCTATAATATGATCGGTACAATTGCTAAAAAAAAAACACTAACGACCTGAACTGTCATATAAAAACCAGTCTTAAAGTTGAACTGAAGTCTATCTTAGCTTCCTTTGTTGCAACGATACCTATACGGTCATTTAAGAGATAGTTTGCAGATGATCACTGAACGCCTATAGTGGAACTTTTATTTAAATATCTTAGCAATCGCAACGAGTAAATGGAAACCAGTCTTAAAAGGTGTTATAATCTTACAATATTTACACTCCAATTTGTAAAATACCGCCCTCCCTCACACAAACGCATTACGCTAGACTTGTCGCAGTGCTAATTCAATTCAGAATTTCAATGGCTGAAGACCGCTGGTTATACTCCTGTACCTTACATATCCCATATGAGAGATTTATACGGTAACCTTTTTTAGATTTAGGTTAATCATTAGAATTGTCATCGTTATCATCATTTTTGTCATTGTTATCGTTTTATCTCTGTGTTCAGCCATATCACTGGAGAGGGTTATGGAATATTCCCTCCTACAGGTACGTGTCTCTGTACTGTGTCACTGTTACTGTATTTTCAAGTTCAAGGGAATAATGCTTGCTCTTGTTCAATCTTCTTCATTTTAGCCTCAATTTGCAGGTACACCGTTCATCTTCAAAAAGCCGCGCTTAGATTTGTAGGATTTGGCTTCTGGAAAGCAGGAAAGCAAGTTTTATCAGCGCAACCTGACCAATTTGAGCCCTTTCTTCTCTTATTGTGAGCTTTTCTTTGTCAGCCCGCATTCTAATTTTCCGCTTCGCTGATTATGAATAATTAATGATGTCCCTCCATTCTGCGCGATGAAGTAACAGATTGACTCTGTAACTGACATTGTACTACCTGTTTATTTTGCAGTGGAAAGTTTAAGAGGGTAGCTGAACAATTCACTCCATATTCTTGGACATCGTACAATTGGAAAGCCACCACTAGTCTCACTAGGTGGCTGGCAGTTTGTGGAATTACTGCCCTGGTATGTTTCGTTGTTCCTGTTTTCGCTTTATTCTATCAAAATACGGTTTTTATAGCTTGCGTTTGGAGGAACGGGCGTGTAGTGCTGGAAAATCTCTGTCAGACATCCTTGGAGTAACTTTTTAATCCCCTGTCTTTCCTCGCGATAAACGATTGTAAAGGCCTATCAACTAGTTTGAGAAGCTGCTATCCCGCTCACCCCATGCATGCAATTTTTACTCTCTCCACGTGGCAGGTGTTTGAACGGGGAGGGAATAGACATTCGTGTGCGCTTGTGGAAGAACGGGGGCGATATTAGGTTCCCTTCCGCCCCCCTCCACCTCGCGCGCCTTTCGCGCTCCTCGTGCGCCCGAAATCCCAATCTCCTTCGACCCTTTCGAACGGCTGCCACGCAGGCTATCCTTATTCGATTACCATGAAGTCAAGATCGTTCTCGACACTCGACAATCACGCGCGGAAAAAATATGGGACTACCCTGCCTTTAACTTTCTTATGTTTGGTAAACTCCTCATGGTGTAGTCATTGAGGAGGTATTCATACTTTCTTTCCTGTACTCTGTTTGTTTATTTGTTTGTTTGTTCTGAATCATACTCGGGAATGGAATTCTATTTAGTACTTATATTAAAGATCTGGAGGGGACAAAAAACTAGCGGAAGACGCAAACGACACAGTTTAAGAGAATAAATGATTTTCAGTTCCTTACAGCTGAACTGAACTTGTTTTACCTGAAGTTCATCCTGTGGATTCCTCCTCCTCACTTCATAATGCAAGCTCGAATGGCACTGTATCTTGGGATGGGAGCAGTTGCTCTAAATGAGACTTATAGATACATGGATGACCCGTGAGTTGTTGAATGTTTTTTTGTTGTGTTTTACGTAATTTTATTTTAATTTATTTGAGAGTTGGTTACCGAACGTAATTTCGTGATTTCTTTGGGTTTTCATCGCCACGCCTTCTTGGTCCCCCAGTTTTCCTTCTTTTAAACGAAAACCATTCGAGACCTTCCACTGAGTACAAAGACAGCTTTTAGAGCAAATCGTTCTCGCAGAGGAGCTTCATTACAGCTTGGTGAGAATTGAAACTACTGGCATTCACAAGTGCTGTACAAAGACCAAAACACTTCCTTGCCTTCCCTCGACACCGCACAACATACGCCAGCAGGAAAACCAAATTATCTATCCGGCGTATCAAAATACCAATATTTCATGCCTTTTTTTTCTGCAAAGATGTCAAACTAGTGCTACAATATTAGAGACATTAAGATCGAGGTTTTTCGACGTTTCCCGCGAACCGCGAACCGCGAACGTCAAGAAGTCACGTGACCAGTGCCTTCACGGCTTGCCGTCAAGTTTGCAGTTTGATGTTGAAGTTCTTACGGCTAGACCACGCTCTAGAGGTGAGTGATTTACCGCAAGGTTTTTTGCTCCCGAAAACATCACAGTCCCACGTTTGAGAGGGAATCTTTTTCTCTAAGTAATTGTCGAATTCGAAGTAGAAGTGAGCGAATGAATGAAAACAAACGTGAGAGCCGAAAGTTCCACTCGCGAAGCTCAAGTCTCAAATATAGGCAGGCGGGTAACATGAAACCGCTAACCGAAAACCGCGGTTTGCCGTTTGCCGTAAGATGGGCAAACCTCGATTTTAAGGTCTCTATTATCGCTATTAAGTAAAACTGCACTTGTGTTACAATTTTTAACCGCCCACAATTGATATGCGGCCTTTATGTCATGACCTTGTAGCACCTGTAAACGGTTCGGACAGCAAGCGTGGGTGGTTGCTGCCATAGTGGCGACTGAAATACTAATCTGTGTCAAGTTTGGCTGGGACACACTCAGCATCCCTTTCCCTTTTCACGTATCTGCCTTCTGGATCCTCTTCGTTAGCATTTGGTTCATCTGGACGGTGTGGAATTTTTGGCCTTCAATCATCGGCGTCCGTTAGAGTACATCGTGATGCTGAGGACAAAGATGCTGGGAGCGTCACGCCGAATCGACCCAAGCATGAATAAGAGGCGATCTTCGATTGTGTTCACACTATACATGATAGCTTTTGCGCTGGAAGGAAAACCATTTTGGATAGTGCTTCTGTTCACACACAAGAAGTTTCGAAGAAAGTCTACGAGGGGGTAAGCTTGTTAAGAACTTAAAAGTAGTTTTGAATTAATAATAATGACCACCCCTCCCCCCCTTTTCATTAGAAATTTTTTGGGGGTGCCCCCCTTGTATCCTAAATTAATTGAGATGACACCTCCACTTTCCCCGCAAAAAAAGAAAACACCACTCAAAACATCATGTCTTGCTAAAGTGAATACAGTACACAGCACTAGGGAAACGCTACTTGAAATTAACAACACACTTATACTACGACTCCAACTACACTTCACAACTATCATTGCCACTCTATACAATAGGTAACACTAAACACTAAGAAAACACTACCTGAAGTAGCCAAATGAAAAGTTGAAATAGTTGTGGTGATAGCTAAAAATACCATCAGCCGCTCTTTAAAGCCATATTTTTTTTCATGCCCCCCTGTCCAAATCCCACCAGCTCCCCTTACCTGATTTGGAATGAACGGTCCCTTGTGACTAGCAGTGAGAAATGAAGGAGGCCCCCCTCCCCCCCGCCCCCTTCACCCGGGTGCTGAGGAAGGAGGACTGATCAATGTTGGCAAGGAGCGAGAAACTCCCATGGAATTAAGTATAGCCAGCAGAGCAAAATGCAAGCTGGCCAGACAACTGGAAAGGTAAAGCTCTGCTTGGTTAAATTTATTGGCAAACAGGGAAGTTAGCCTAAGTCATCCTTCGAAATTGGTTGCTGCAAGGAGACCTCAACAAAGAAGCGGAAGGGCTAATAATAGCTGCCTAACATCAAGCGCTGAAAACAAATCTGATAAAGACAGAAACTGACAAGCAGGAAATCTCGCTCTTCAGCAGATTGTGTGGCAAAAACCAGAATCTGTAAACCATATTTATCTGCAAAGTAGTAAGCTTGCTTAAAGGCTGTGTCTCCACTATACCGGTAAGCTAATCATGTCGACACGAATGCTTCAGCCTGGCCCTACTCTTTATTCATGACAGCAGAGAGAATACATTCACTTGACGACAATAGTTATTAAAATGCCTTTTTTTGTGAATGCCCCACCATGCTGAGCGATAAAGTATTTAATATATTACTATTGTTTAGTGAAGCTGAACGTGGTTCCTCGCCATTCGTTTGGATTCAAGTTTGCAGCACAAAGTTGTTTTGTCTACTTTAAGGTAAAGGACAACCAGCCTATTTTTAAGCACTTCTAGTTATTCTAGATTTTCATAATTCTTTTAAAGAGGCATTATCGGTCGAGCATAAAGGAAAATGAAATCCGTTCTGACCTTCCGCTCGACGCGAGATTTACGTAGGATAACTAAGACCTACCCTGACCAGGTTGATTTCTTGCCATGTATTCTTCAAAAGATCTTATTGTTATTTTGCAGGCAAATAATAATGCGTTTAAAAAACAATTTAGAAGTGAATATGTTCTTACTGAATACATTTCAGACTACTGATCTATGAAGAGGGAAGGCGGCGTAATTATTTACGTTATTTTAATGCGCAGTGAATTTACCGCCACACGCGAAGTAGTTAAAACTTTATTTCAGCTCATATATAGTCTTCGCTCGAAGTAAATGTCTTATGGGAGTTCTAACCATTCAAAGAAAGAGTTTTGAATCCATCTGACCAAATACGCAGAAGCTGAAGTCTAAAATTCTCTACTCATCATGCAAGCATGAATGAATTTCAACATATCTTTCGTGGATACGCTTGACACAACTTGACGGTAGTTCTGTTCTTGATACTCTGTGAAACCTTTTTAAGAGGAATATTTTAAATCTATCCATCTGGTAAGAAGTGACTTTTAGCTGTGTTACGGCAGTCTAGTTTATATTAATACTGTTTATAGTAGTGCGACAGGTATTACAAAGTGCGACAATTTTATTACAAAGTGCGATAGGTATTACAAAGTGCGACGATTATTACAAAGTGCGACGGAGTCCCTTTGTTTCAGGGGCGCCCAACGGCAATTTTCGGAAAATATCTGTTCGGAAGACGATTTGAGATCTATAATTTTCGGAACAATTGTTGTTAAAATTTCTTGCTTGCCTGCCTCTCCTAGGATTTTCGAACATCTACAAAATGGTATAATTACCCATTTTTAACGAATTTTTACCCTAAAAAAGGCCACCTAGAATTTTCGGGAGCCTTTTCCCGGCTGAAATTTTCGAAAAGGTAAGTTTTGATCCCTATAATTTTCGGATCACTAGACTTTCAGCTACGAAATCCGAACAGATGAAACGTTTTTAGGGGATAAAAATATGCCTATGTCTACCGTTTAAATACTGAAATACGTTCCACAATGCTATGTTAAGTGGTTTTGAACTGTATCCTCGTTGGGTGCCCCTGTTGTTTGTTTCTGCAAAAATTTGACCTCTAAATTTGCTGTACTTTGAGAGATTGTCGAGCGTCACGTGTGATATTTCAAACAACTCTGCCCCCCGCAAATATCTTATCTAATAACTTTACTAGACGTAGTTCAATTCACTCCTACCATACCAGGGCCGAGTCTAGGTCGGAAAATTTCTATATCAAGCATTCGCGCACAAACCAACTGAGTACAGTTCAAAGGCAATTTTTGCAGTGTCATAACTAAAATCAACAATAAAATAAAGTAAGCCTATAGTAAGAAATCAAAGCCATAAAGCATTGTATTTATTTTCGACTTACTGTATATATATTACAATTTTCCTTTCATTTATATTACTAGGAGCGAATGTTAATTTTTGTTTTTATTTTTGACAACCAGACTTGATTAGCTATGCTAACTGCGGTTTGCCAATGTTTGTAATAGTGAGGTTAAGCAAAGACGTTTTTGAGCGCCGTACGTCAACCGGAAGTAGACATTTTTCATTCAAGGGCGGTAGTTTTGTCCACATTTTCTGTAAGTCGTATCCATAACAGTAAAGAAACTTAGTCATACAAATTTTGTAGCGTCAAGGTATTTTAAAATGAAAAATACCTCAGTCCGGTTGACGTGCTTCGCTCAAAAGCTGCCTGACATTGTTCTTTTAAAAACGGAATAATTAAAAGTGCAGTTGTTATCCCGGGGGGGGCACTTGGGTATTTTTTGGGTGGGTATGTGCCGCCCGGGATTCCAAATTGGCACCCCGTTCTAGAAAAAAATTCCCCTAAAATTGATACCCCGTTCTACAAATAGGCCAATTTTTTATACCCCGTTCTAGAATTCGCCCTAAAACTAACACCCCGTTCTAGAAATGGGCCAATTTTTTATACTCCGTTCTAGGGTGCAACAAGAGTACAACGGTTTACTTGTTAACGCACTGAACCGTATTTTTAAAAGCAATCTGTCCTTGAAGGCTTTCAAATGGCTGCTTACAAAAGTGGAGAGCTTTCATGCGTTCGAAATATTATACCCCGTTCTAGAAACCGCGTCTGAAATGGATACCCCGTTCTAAACCAGGAGCTTCAAAATCACGACCCCTTTGGGCGGCACATACCCGTATAGGTAATGTATGGGAGTACCCCCCCCCGGGGTTGTTATTGTACATTCAAATGCAAAAAAAATTTAAAACATTACTGCTGAGGCTCTGATTGGTACTGATAAAAGTACTTATTATATTATTTTTTTCAGTAACCCCTTTTTTTTATTTTGAGATAATGTAATTTAGGATATTGAATGGCAACGCAAGGGATGTAAAAGTCATAAATAATAAAGGCCAAATATGCAAATTTTTAGTCTAACAACGTTGAATATTCACATAAAGGGCCATAGAACACCTTTGGGTCATGTTATATTTTAAATAAAAATTGTACAGAAAACAAACGAACTAAACCAAAAAATTCCATTGTGCGAAAAACACATAACATAGCTGTGGTCACACTACAGACTTTTACCTAGGTAAAACCGATTTACCTAGGGCAAATTCATCAAAAGTCTGCCTAGGTAAATTCATCTCGGGTCAGTTGTTTTACCTAGGTAAAAATTCTGGGAAGGTCACACTACTGATATCGACTCCCAAAGTTTTCACGCCAGTTGAATTTTTTCATAGTTAATTGAGTGGAATGGTTATGAAACCCGTCAGACTCCTTTGTTATATGTTTTTGTGGACCTGAAAGTGCACAACGTTCAAAAGAATTCCTATCATTTTGATTGTATTGACCAATAAAAACGTTGCATTAATTTATTCCGTAACAATTTGCCAACAGAAAACAAAGGATTGTGCACTTTCACGGTGCTTTGAACATAAACTGCAGCACTGTTGTTTTTATCACTGATGTTTGCCGCTTTTCATAACCAGTGTCCTCTAATAACTATGAATTTTTTGGAGCGTAAATTCAAGAAGGCAAAATGCGCAGGGATCTAGCTGATCAAAGAGACATTTTTTTCTTTTGTCTCGCTGTTATTTCTTACGCTAATTCAACGTGAATGGTGAAGAAAGGCGAAGATGTAGACGACTCGTGCTCCCAAAATTACTTGCACAGCGTGATCTATGTCCGGTTCTATCATCAAGACCTTCGCCGATGAGCGTCTATTGGCTAGCAACCTCGGTATTTCATTTTTCCCTAGCTATTGCTTTGGGGTAGCTGTCAAGGGAAACTCTATTGTTTTCGAGACATATCCAAGACCCAGAAGATAGAATTTTCCCGAGGTAAGTTACCTGGGGAAAAATCGGTCACACTTAAAAAATCAAGTTTCCCTAGGTAAACTGTCAACAAGTCGTGTTTACCTAGGTAAAAAGTCTGTAGTGTGACCACAGCTATTGATGATATCGCGCAATAGGAGCTTATGGGCATAAAAATGCAAAGCGATATAGTAGCCGTAGGGTATAAACTTAAAATTGAACACGTTTTGGCTCCAGTGCATTGGGGACTCAATTTTGCAGCATAAAGTCGCGGTTACATTACCGCTTCAAGGTATATTGCAGCCTTTCTTCTAGTGCTATTAGTGGTTTAAGGTTACGACTGGGTGCTTTTTCGAAAGACTTAACTAACGCCGGCCACACTACGCAAATTGAATTTTAAAAGTTGACTTCTCTCGAAGCTGAAGTATGCCCTGAGCTCGCCCTGAGCATGATGCCG